GGATCAGGAGAAAGCACGCTAGAGCTAGAATTAGTTAAGAACTGCCCTTGGCGCGGTGAAAAACGCCAAGTGAAAAGTTTTATGGAGCTGGAGGCGCATATCGCTTACCACCAGGCGGGCGGAACGGGTGAGAGATGTATCAGCAGACGCCTTTCGCTGAAGGGAGAAGAGTGAGCTTCCGAAGACGGAGCCCCGAGAGAGAGGGAAGTGTATTTGCACCCCGCGGCATTCGGGTGTATGATGAGCGACGAGCGGGTCCTGTTCAGGCCCCTCGATACTGTGTCTCTCGCCAGAGTCAACCTGGCGGGCGCAGTGAACCCGACCCACACCCGGGAGTGTGCCCATTGCCTATGATATGCTCGGGAGAGTGAAGAACCTGTGCCAATCGTCTGGTTCTCCCCTTACATGGTGGCATCTAGATTAAGGGGTTGCGAGCTTCCATCCGAGCTCCACGAAGATCTGGAGACGGAGGAACGCGCCGCAGATGAGAGGGTGGCCCTACAGTACGACAAGGGGGGAGAATTGAGTGCAACATTCCGTACAATTACTGATCTAATGAATAAGAATTTAAGTTTGGAGGCCCAGCTGCGTATGGCTATTCAGGAGGTCAAAGAAGCGGCTGAGAGAAGGAATCCTGAAACGCCAGCTCAAGATGGCGCCGAGCAAGAGGGAGACTGCGTGGAAGAACCGGAAAAGAAGGGTGGAGCTTCGGAGGAATCCGCGAGAGTTCTTATGTAACATGAGCTGTAGAATTTCACTTTGCTAATTTTCTAAGGGGTGATATCTTCCCCTAAGAGCTAAGATCCTATTTTTGCAGGATTTTAGATACTGTGCTGGGACCATTTAGTATACTTCCAGCTAGGACCCTAAATGTATAGACTGGCTGTAGTCTGGAGAATTTTTTATCTATGTAACTCCTTTTCTATTTTCTAACTGTTATTACATTTTAAATGTATGTGCTGCATTGCTTTACCATATATTATTCATTATATCTTCCATAAACATTTTATGTGCAGGTTCTTACATATATGATCAATTAATTATATTTATGTGTGACCTTCACCACTACATTGATTTATCTTGTTGTTATAGAGCCTGTGCCAGCCCGTAGAGACTGGCAGAATGATGCAGACAATGGCCCAGAAGACCATCACACCCAAGGGACAAGTAGATTATTGTATCACATTACTGATGGAGACAATCCCCTTCTGTCACCACGCTGCTCTATCTTCAGCCAAAGCCAGAGGTTTAATTTAGACCCAGAGTCTGCCCCTTCTCCGCCAAGTAGTCAGCTTTTCATGATGTAAGAAAATCTATCATAACTTTAATTTTTATTATCTTTGTATAATCCACAATACATGACTGTGATGGGGTTTTTTCAGCTAGTATCATAAAGGGATTTTTATTAATATAACATATTTTGTCATGATCAATTTGAAATACCATAAATAGGACCTAACATTTTCTGGTAAGAACCGAGTACAATATTCATTGAAGTTTTAGTTAATTATACTTTAGTAATGACATTTTTAAAGGTTAATAGTCTGTTAAGTGAGCACCAGATGAAGGAGGTTATTAAAGGTCCAGTACAGAAAAGTTCAATTGTCATGTAATTATTTTATGAGGTACTCTTTGGAAAGGAAAGGCAGTGTGGTACACTTCTGTCTAGTACAGGTTAGTCCTTTTCAGAAATCCTAAAATTTAATTTCAGGCAGGAAAGATTTTTTCTTTAAGGCTTAGAAATAAAGTTCAGGGAAATACAAATAAATAGTAATCAAGCCTACTGATTCACAGACACTAAGGAACCAGACACTAGAAACAGAAGAGCCAGACACTAAAGATCCTTCAAAATGATTACGCTTGTTGCCTGTAAGGAAGGGTTTCTAGTGCCACACCAATGTATTAAACACTCTTACGCTGGAATATTAATTGCTTTTTTCAAGTTCTTTGCAACATATGGCAACTAACCTTAGTTAGTTAAAGAACACTATTCTTTAAGTTTCAAATTTAAATTATGTAAAGGTGCTGAATGGTTTCCTCGGAGCTTGCAAGCTCAATCGGGGTGTTTGCACTCTTGGGGCAAGGATCTGCAGCTGGCTGTGCACACAGAATGCATGCACGTGATTGGATAGCTGTAACTCCAGGGCGGGAAGCCCAGGAAAAAAATAGGGAAAACGAGCTGAGGAGAGGCTAGCTGAACCTCTGTTGAGAAGAGCTGCTTCGGAGGGGGCTGCTACCAGGACAAGTGCTTCTGAGAGGATGACTGGCAGGAGAATTGTGACTGAGCTGCTACTGGGGGCAGAGGAGCCACCAGCTAATGAGTACCCAGGATTACCTGGTATCCTTTACTAAAGAAGCAGGGGTTGTGGAAATGGGTTCCCCTCCCCACTCTTAAGATCCCTGAGTGCAGGGAGTCACTGGAGGGAATCAGGGATGGGGGTTGCTAGAGGAGGTTTTTTGGAAGAGCTAAAGAAAGCAGCAGGGAACTGTGGCTGGGTGGGAGCGCCAGCAGAGAGCTTAATAAAGTGTAGCTGAGAAGGGGCACTACAGGTGCCAAACACAGGGGAGCTGCCTTGAGAAGTGTCTGGGGAATGGTGTGATTGATTGCAGGCATCTAGGAAAGACTGGATAAGGGAAGAAACCGTGGTCTCCAGAGCAGCCACACCTGAAGTCCTGACAGGCACCTCCCATCTTCTGTCCAGATGATGGCATTGCCACCCCTCTTCTAAGGCAGAGTGATCACCGCTCCCTGAGGCTCCACTGCAGCCACTGCACAGTGGACTACTTTGGTGCAGGCAAAGTGATCTTGTGGAGACCTGACTGATTAAGTGTATATACCTGTGATAAGTTGCCTGAGTGTTAAAGTTGATAACATAATTGTTTTTGTTATATGATAAGTATTTGCTTTATCTGCTGGTATAGATTATTATTGAGCTCATTGAAAATATTTTGTTTGTTATTTATGGGATGCCGAATTTGTCAATCTCTCAGTTATTGTAAATAAATTATTGTAAATAGTTTTTTAGTGTGTGGTCTGGTGTGGGGAGGACCATGGGAGAGCACTCCAATGAGTGATGCTCCCAGGCTGTAGACAGAGTGGGAGTAGACTAAGACCTATTGGCACCCCAGGATCCCAAAAATGTGGACATAGCTGCAGGTAGCACCACCACCAAGTTTACAATTGTATTTTGATAGATATTCTGCCATGAAATCAGTTAAACAAACTTTTTAGAATTGGAACAGCTTATTTTACCCCACTAAATCCCTTATTTTGTTACAGAAAAATGCAAAGGTCAAGATCAAAGGTAGCAGCCCATAAGGCTAGCATGTTTAAGGTGTGTCAGTGTCTGTGGCCAATAGCACAAACAAGAGTAATATGCCCAGCTGCCTGGGGCTCTGCAAAGCTTCAGTCCCTGATTCAATTCGGCAGAGATTCAGCCCAATTTGGTGGCCAAATCTGAATCGAATCAAAGGACCCTTTAATTTCTCCAAATCGAATTGGAATCCTCTGAATCAATTCGGAGCGATTCAGCGATTCGGATGTAGAGACAGCTTGAAATGTTTTTTTCTGCATACCTCTAGATATCAGGGGCTCGTGAATGCTGCAATGCTGGGGCACATGGAATGTCCCACAGAATCACGGGGGGGCTCCCTAGCATGCTTGGCAGCAGACCCGGAAGTGGACTGGAAGCACTTCCGGTCTACTTTGGGGTCCACTGGGGAGCATGCAGGGGGGAACCTGAGGTCCCCCTGTGGCCAATCGCTGAGCTGGGGTGGAGGGGCAGTGCGCTCCCCGGCAGACCTGGAAGTGGACTGGAAGTACTTCTGGCCCACTTTCGGGTTCACCACCGAGCACGTGGAGGGACTCCCACACTTCTGTGGGATACTCCATGTACCCCAGTATCGCAGCGATCACAAACCAGGCCTGCTACCTCAAGGTATGTTGAAAAAACTTTTAAAGCTGTGTCTATGTCCAACTAGCTAATTTTCTGAATCAGCATCGAATCTTCAGATTCGGATTCACCCAAATCGAATTGGGGACAGTGATCCGAATCAATGAATCAAATTACTGTGCCTGATTTGGGCTGAATCCAAATCGAATAGGGCCACTTCGCACACCCCTACAGCTGCCTTTGACTCCCCTGTTCAAATGACCTGATATTCATTTATAGCGTGGTCAGCTGGGGGCAATCTTTGGCACAGATCTGGAACATGGCTTAAAATCACACCTCTTGTGCCTTAGCCACTGCATCTCCACCGTTTCAGCTAGCCAAAAGTAATTTTCAGTAGAACTGATACGAACATTTTCTGCTTGAAGATTTTCCCTTCCAAAATGCCATTTGGTTGAAATGTAATTCTTCATGGGAACATGCCACCACTTACCTCATGGTAGAGTCAGAGTTGCCATCATGGCATGTGATAGTGGTGGCAGCTCTGGCTCCAGCATGGAGCATGTGGCAGTATCAGCACCTCCAGGTCACACAGGGGAATGTAGCATGTGGAAGGAGCCACAGCTGCTGGTGTCATGTCCCGTGAGCCAGAACCAGAGTTGCTGCTGCTATTGCTGTGTGCCCCAGGCTTTAACCACCCTGTGGCCCTGGCTAGATCTGGCCTGCAAGGAGACCTATGGGCTGGAGCCAGCTATGGGCATGAAATGAGTTTGACACTCCTGGCCTAGCTGTCTACCACATGCTCCAGTATCTTCAAAGGGAATAGAAATTTAAACTTCATAAAACTTAACAATTTTCTTTTATCTACCTGTCATATTCTACAGGTAATTTTTATTAAAAATGGTTCAGTGTAGCTAAATTCATGTCATTTCACAAATATATCACTTGAGTTGATAGAGATATCTGTCAACTTTCCTTTTTCAGGCCAAGAAGTTCTTCCAGGTGTAACTGTGAGGACAGAAAACAACTACAGACAGTGGCACAACTTACTAAACACCTTCAAAGTCTCAAGAGAAAGATTAGGAAGTATGAAGAGAAGTTTGAACAGGAAAAAAAATATCGAGTAAGTGCTCCAAAACAGAGGAATGAGTTCCATGTATTTATTATAGGTAATGCATTTAAACTGTAAGATTGTGTCTCTTCCAAAATCATGGAAAAATCTAAATGTCTACAATCTATACTTGTGAGCTGCTTTTTTGGATCTTCTTTTTGTTACCTTTGTTTGGAAATACCATTATCTGTATGAGTGGTTGCAAGAATTAATCACTTAAAATGTCCTAGAAGTTCTTACATCAAATAAATGCTCCCCTACTTATAAATATCGGCTTTTTTGTATTATAGACACAATCATTTGCTTGAAAATTTTCTTCTGCTCTATATCTTTCTTATTCATGCAGACCAAGTCCTAATTTAAAAAACAACAACAACCAAACACTGACATTTTATAAAAGTTGTGGGTCAGTGAAAACTCTGATATATGGCTATGCATGAACTGACGTATATAGTAGAGATAGCTTTAAATAGGCTAGATCAGGTACTGGAAGCAGTCTATGACAGGATGGAGCTCAGCCTCAGAGTCAATTAGCCTACTGAGCTCCGTGCTATAGCCTACTGAACTACTGGGACCCTACTGAGCTACTGGTGCCTGAGCTAATTCATTTGAAGGCAATGTGGGTATCTCTACACTACCCTGCAAACTGCAGCTATACCTTCAGTGGTACTGGTATCCTGAGATTTATGCTTTACAGCAGAGAAATCTCTTATGTAGTAACTGGCAAAGGCTAAGGCTACAATCAATCTTCCCAAATGTAGGGAATTTTGTGGTACTAGTGGAGGTCTCTAAGGTTTTGCCCACTACTGCAGTTTTCCTATGCATGGTATGATGGAATCATCTTAATTTATGTCTTGTTAGCATCCTTTGTAAATCACTGCTTACATGTTTGTAAAGGAAAACAGTTTTCTTGGAGTTCATATAATTCCTTTGCTAACTGTTGCATGTTAGTATGTTAAAACCAAAAGCATCTTCAGACTTACTTATTTGTTTGAGTTTGGATTGCTGACTAGCAATTAGCCTGTCACAGGAATATAAACTCTAGTATAACTGCCAGCAAGTGAAGGCTCTGTAAGCTCTAACTATAGAACTACAAAAGCAGTTTTGTGTTTTGATAGTGAGAAAAGCTTGTAATAGCTATGGAAGGGAAGAAGTCATTTCAAAGACTTGTGAAATGGGAGACAAAGTAGCAGGATAGGAAGTTGATCTTGTAACTATTAGTTCTAAACTGAGGTGCCGTGTCACCCTTTCAAGGGTGATGTGATACTGGCATTGCTATGGCCTGGTTTCACATGTCTCTGCTTACACTAGGCACAAATGCGGCTGGAGCAGAAAGCTGCTGCAGCAGGAGCATCTGTTCCTGCCTGCATTAGATTTATCTAATAAAAGAGGTAAACTGAGACAATACAGCAGAGATTCTCAGATGGGGTGCTGATAAATTCAGATAAGTGATATAATTTTTCATCTAAAAACATGTTGCATCTAAAAAAAAGTTGAGAATCATTGGTTTAAACAGATGAAAGGGGGGATGAGAAGAAAAGGCAGAGGATTTAACAAATGATTTGGGGAACTTCCAGAGTATAAGCAGTAGGAAAATGGGAGGAGAGGGGTGAATATTAAAACCACTGTTTCAAATAAAATGATGTGCAATATTGGGCCTTTTTGTGCTCCTTCCTTTTGATTAGAAAATTTTTGGTATTCTGGTGAAGCCATTAAAATGAAAATATGCTAGCTTTTCTTCATTTGATCATGAAATTACAGAACTGGATAGATACTTGTGACTGCAACTGTCCTAAAGTAACCAGAGGTTCTTTGCAGTAGGATTCCATTGTCATGATATCATAAAATGGCTTTGAAGGAAATGGTTTGAAATATCTTTTCCACAGTTTAGTGAAAAATTTCCTTTTTTACAGCAAAATTATTTCCTTTTTAAAAATTAACTTTTTCAGTATAAATTTACTTTAATCTGAATAAAATATGAAGAGGCACAAAAGGGACTGCAAATGTTCCTACTTTTAGATCTTTTTAAAAAAGTGAACCATATTTTATATACTTTTTCAATAATCAGGTCAGAATATTGAGCTGAAACCCAGAAAACATTTACATTTTTGAGTGCCTAAGTCTGAAGACCATTAGTAAGGATTTGATTCTCCCAGGCACAGAAGACTTTGACACTCATTGTGCAAATCACAATGCGAACAATATCACTGAAGAGGAGCTTACTTATATTCATTAAATTAAATATACTAGCCAACTTTAAGAGTAGTCAGACCATCATGAACCCTTCAAGAATGAAGAGAGGGCAAGAAAAAAAAATTGCACACATTGACAGGCTCAATTGGTTTGGTTTTTTTTTTAAATTAGCAAACAGATAATGATTCAGAAATAGCTGTTGGACAAGAGCAGATGACAGGTGCACTTTCTTGTGGCAGTTCAATTTATGCTTGGTTGTTTAGAAGTTTTTTGATTGTATAGTTAACTAGTGTTCTTCAATAGTAGTTCAGATTATCATGGTCAAAACTGAAAATGTTAGTGATAATCTTTTATGAAAATGGAAATGTCTGTATGTAGGTGCATATCATAAAAACAGAGAGCCAACAGTATGAAACAAGGACAGACATGTTTAAGATTTCTGGGGTCAACTTTTTTACAATTTATGCATCAGCATAATCTAGTCATGAACGGTCACTCAAGCATCATTATTTCTGCTTCTGAAAAGCTTCTTAAAGGGTTTATTTCTTCTGATAATCCCAACAGTTCTTAATGAAAGAAACAAGAAGGTTAAGAGTTCTTCTTTGCATGGTAATGGAAAAACATTTTAAGTGTTCCATTTTTCACACCAACTTTCAAAGGGAGAACACAGCAAGAGTGGTTTCTTTATTCCACTTAAGCTGATTCTATTTATTGCTTCTGCTGCAAATTGTTTAACTTCAGAGATTTTGCTTTTGCCAAGAATGGTATGGTTGGGGTAGCTACAAAAGATTCAGACCATGGGAGAGTAGCACTGGAGTATCTTTTGGCAATTAGCACTACCTGCTCCAGTGAGTTGCCCAGTGTCCCTTTACTATTCAGTTACATCTTACCTAACCAACCCTGAAGCCATAAAATGAGGTTTGTTAGCTGAGAATAGGTTCCTCTTCCTTAGAAGGTCTTTCCTTGCCAAATATGTGAACAGGATCTTGTCAAAATGGTCAAGTAGAGTATGCTTGAATTTTTCATCTACACTAAATTACTGTTCTCATTATAGAATGATAATCCTTCTTTATTCTCGTAAGAAGACATATTATGCTTGAGAAACAGAGCGCACAGTCTAGAGGTGAAAGGACTCAAAGAAGCAATGCAACTCTGTGAAAAGTCCAAAGAGGTACAGAGCTACAAGTGTTGCAAAAGGGAAGTGAGGAGGTCAAAATACAAAATACATCCAATGCACGTATACAAATGAGAGAAATATGGGGAATAAACAAGAGTTGGAAGCTGCAGCCTATGAAAAGAACTATGATCTGATTGACATCGCTGAAACCTGGTAGTTCAGCTCTTATGACTGGATTGTCAACATGGAGGGTTACCCTCTTTCAGGACAGGGTTGGAAGAAAAAATGGTGGTGGTGTCTTATATATCAAAAACACATATACTTGTCTGCTGGTTCAGGGGGAAGAAGACGGCAAAACAATACATTTGAGTGAAGATGAAAGGTGAAAGATGTGGCACTGATATAGTGGCAGGGATTTATTATAGGCCACCTAAACAGGAAGAGGAGGTAGATGAGGCAGTCCTCAACCAGGTGACAAATCCATCCAAAAGCTATGGGATGGTAGTGATGTGAGACTTCAATTTTCTGGACACCTTTTGGAAGAATAATGCAGCCTGTTCCTACATTGTGTGGAGGACAACTTTCTGATCCAGAAACTGGAGGATAAAAATAGTGGATCCTCTAACTTTGATCTGCCCTGACCAACAGGGAAGAACTGGTGGAGGATGTGAAGGTTATGGGTAACTTGGGAGGAAGCAATCATGATATGGTAGAATTCCAGATCCTGAGACAGGGAAAGCATGACGTCAGCAAAATTAGGATACTAGATTTCAAAAAGGCAGATTTCATCCAACTAAAAAGTTGATAGTTATGGTGTCATGAAAGGATATTATGAAGGATAAAGGTACCCAGGAAGGTTGGGAGCTTCTAAGGGGCACATTATTGGAAACCAAACAAGAAACTGTCTTTTCATGATGGAAGCACAAGAAGAATGGCAAGAGACCAATGTGGCTTCACATGAAGCTTCTAAAATGCCTCAAATGCAAAAGAAAAGTATAGGGGCAATGGAAGAATGGACATATGACAAAGGAAGCATACCAGGAAATAGCAAGGACCTGCAAAGATGACATGGATTTATGAAAAATTAAAGTGTCAAACAAACTTGGTCTGCTTCTTTGACAAAGTTACTACATGCATGTGTCGCAGGGCAATAAGGTGCCTGCTCCTTTAAGGGCTGAAAAAGCTTAGGCAGAGATCCCTAGCAGGCAGGCAGGAACCCCACAGGTGCAGGTTACTGTGGCAGCAGGCCTGAGGGAATTAGCCTGCACCTGCAGCTGGTCAGCTGACTGTAAGGGGAAGGGCCCTGGGCCCATATAAACCCCAGTGCTGGAACTAGAGAGTCAGTTCCCCTGCCAGCAGGCAAAGGGGAAGGGAAGGAGCCTCCAGGGTGGAATTGCCCAGAGACACTGCAGCTGCCTGGTATGAGGCACTTGGGGCTAATGGGGATCCAGGAGCTCACCATGTACCCTTGACTATTAGGCACTTAGTGCCAGGGAAAAAGTTTTACTCTTTTAAAGGGGCAGAGCACACCCTGAACTTTTTGTGTTATGTTACAGCCCAGGGGCTCATATTTTGGTTGCTGTCTTATAACTCTGGAGGATCAGGCTAAGGCTATTGGGGAAGGAGGAGGCCTCATTGGGGTCCACTACAGTGTGGGGACCCCAACACCAGTGTGGGTGCAGTATTCAGGGTGAACAGACCCCAGCACCAGTGGGCACTGAGAGAGAGAGAGAGAGAGAGAGAGAGAGACAGGGCTGCAGAAAGCCCAGAGCCAAGGGGTGCCGAGAGAGACAGGACTGTGGAGAGCCCAGTGATGACCGAAGGCCAAACTGAATTAAGGCCTTGGAGGAACAATGAGTGAATTCCATCTGCAAGGCTTGGGGTGTGGTAAAGGGGTAGTTTGGAGTCATGCCACTAGCCCATAAGGCTGAGGGTGTTCCCAAGAGGCATTCATTTTGGAGAAGACGCAAAAGGGGTCCAGGAACCCACAGGGTTCAGTGGGGTCCAGCAGGATTGTGCCCAAAATACAACTTGAGGGCAGCCTCCCTATTTACTATAGTACACCAAGACATGGCAGGCGAGAAAGAGGGTGCCCAGTGGGCAGGATTGGCATGGTCAAGGGGACCTAGGGGTATCACGGCCATCCCAGAGGACCCCGTCCTATGACAGTGTGGAATAAGGGAATGCTGTGGATAAAGTGTAGCTGGATACCAGAAACGCTTTTGACAAGGTCACACACAACCTTCTCATAAATAAATTGGAGAATTGTGAGCTGGATAAAGTACCACAGCTCCATAACCACATGCAAAGGGTAATTATTAATGTCAGAATAGCAGGAGGTTTCAAGTGGAATCCTATGGAGGTTTGTTCTGCACCCCGTACTGTTCAATATGTTTATTAATGATTTGGATACTGGCATAGAAAGCTTCTTGGAAAAGTTTGCAGATGACACTAAAAATGGGAAGGATTGCAAACACACTGGGGGATATAAGTGCAATTCAGAAGGATCTCAACTGAATGGAAAGTTGGGCTAGAGTTACCAAGATGAAGTTCAATGTGGACAAATTCAAGGTGCTACCCCTTGAAAACATCAACGTGAACATGAATATAAAATGGGTGGATGGCAGCACTATGGAAAAAGACTTGGGAATCTTGATGCACCATAGACTCAATATGAAGCTGCAGTTTGATGCAGCCTCACAAAAGATGAATGTGGTTTTGGGATGCATCAATAGAAGCATTAGGTGCAAGACAGTGAGGTGATAGTGCCGCCCTACTCAGCACTGGCTAGGACTCATCTGTGGTACTGTGTAGTTCCGGGCACCACATTTTAAAAATGATGTGAAGATATTGGGCAACAAAGATGATCAAGGGCTTGGAAGACAAGTCATATGAAAAGAACCTAGGAATGTTCAGTTTGCAGAGAAGTTCAGGCCTCAGGGCATGTCCTCGAGACTTGGGTGTTGGGCTGTGTTTGACCCCAAAGGAGGTCCCGGCACTCCTCTGCCATGACTTGATCTTGCTGCTGATCTCCCACAGCAATGATCCTGGAGTCCGGAGGGCAGTGTCACCCTCCTGGGTTTTGCTGCCACCCCCTTTGCTTCCCCACTGCTGGCTTTTAAATCTGTTGGGCGGCAGTTCTTGGTGACATCATCCGCCAGCATTGCTCCCAGTCACAAATAAAAGCGGCTGATGAACTGCAGTGGCGGTTCTTCTCAGCGCAGCACATCTTTTCCTGTTGAAGGTAAGTAAGACTCTTAGGGCTTTTAGTTTTCTTTTTCTGGGGGCTTACCCCAGCCTCAGCTCTCACCATGGGAAGGGGTTCCCAGGGATTTTGTTTGTGTCCCCCTGGGACACCAGCTAAAATAGTTGGAAAAATTCTTCTTTGCTAGCTTTCCTGTACAAACATCCATCTTCAGGTAGCGGGAGATGAGATTTACCCAAAGAACTTTATCTGCCTATGTCCTTAGCCCAACATGGCTACAAGCAACACCCCTGAAACATCTGTGAATGAGAGAATTCCTTCAGATTTCAGAAGACATGCAGAACACCCATGGGAATGGCTTTTAACCTGTCATGAATTGAAGTTAAGGGATTGTGACTACTCAACCTCTTCATATTGCTAAATGGAAGGAGGTTCTGGTTAGATCCTGATAGATCCAAGAGGTTCTGGGAGTGGTTTTAGATTGGAAAAGTTGATAGTCAGCACCATAGTAGTGAATGGGGGTGGGGGTGGAAGTGATGGATTAGAGGCCTATTCTTTTTTATCATTATTATTATTATGAAGGAAATAAGAATATCTCATAGTGCACTGTGATTTCCATTCATATGCTATCTTTGTTCAGAAATATTCTTTAAAAATACTTGCATGACTACATCTGGAGTATTACAGAGATTCCTGTAGAAAAAACATACACCCTAATTCTGAATGAGCTGTGCACATTCTAAGCCTTATGCACTGTTCCTAATTATATTATAAGGCTATAATACCTAAAAATACACAGTGCCTAAAGTTCAGCTTATGCATTGTCTTTGAAGTATCATGGCCATAATGATGACAACAACAACCACACTGTGTTCTTTTTCTTTCTCTTTTACGTGCAGCCTTCATATGGTGACAAAACTTCCAATCCCGAAGTTCTGAAATGGATGAATGATTTAGCTAAAGGTCGCAAACAACTCAAAGGTACATAATAATTTACATTTCCATTTTCTAATGTTTCCACTTTTTCCCACCCATTTCTCTTTCACTACTGCATTGATTTAAGTTTCCCTATGGAAAATAGAATATGCCCAACCTCAGTCTCTCACAGTGAGGAAAGACTGCTATTATGTATCCTCTTGAGTGCCTTTTTTGCAAGAGGAACATGTCTAGGCTCTTCTCATATGACTTGCCTTCTAAGCCCTTGATCATCTTTGTTGCCCACTGTAGACCCTCTCTAACATTTTCACATCTTTTTTAAAATGTGGAGCCCAGAACAACACAGTACTGCAGATGAGGCCTAGCCAGTGCTAGCGCTTGAGGAAAGTCAGTTCCACCCGACCAAGAGTCCCCTTCTAAGTATCAGCCTTCTTGCAAACTACATTACAATTTTAATTACAAATCCAAATTGCAAAGTCAATGACTTCTTTAAGGTGACATGATTCATATTGTAGCTGATTTGTTGACTTCATATTCTAAACTCTGTTTTAAAGCCCTTATTATTTGATCATAACAATTAATTTAGTCTGCCTGAAATTAGATTTAGTCCAGAGGGTCAAATTCTCCTGTCTGCGTGTACATGGATTTATTAATGTCTGTGGAAGTAACACATTCTTATCCTAGGGGAAAATGTAGCCACTATTGATTTATTTATTTTTAAGGCCATTTAAAAATAATAAAATCCTTTTTAGCTTTAGATGCATTCTCATCATAAATTAAATCATAGTGTTACATTGTCATGATGTTACAGTTATAACGTTAAAATGATTAATGTTAATGTTAGATCCTGACTCCATGTGATGCCCAATGGCTAAGGAGATGATGATCCAATTGCCTATGGATCCTGTTACTCATTAGCCAGAGCAAGCAGGGAGCAAACACCAGCACACATTGCTCACAACAGCTTTATTCAGAATGGAGACAGCTTCGGGTGACACCCAGTCTATGAACACAGGGAGCAGCAACGAACAACAGTTCTTTCCACATTTATACACTTTGGCTCATGTTTATTAACATTTATTCCACCCTCACTCCTCCTTTGTACCACCCATATCTCCTCCCATTTCAAGCTCTGCTTCTGTTTACTGTTTGTTTCATTAACATGGTTTTCTGTCTCATGTACCATCTTCCACCTTTTTTGGGGCCCCTGTATCTTATCTCATTCCTTACTGTAGGTGATTCACAGCACGCAGACTCACACAGATTCACTTGCTGCTTTTTTTCTCAGAAAATGGTTGACAGTTAAGATGGTTACTTAGCATAAGCAAATGGCTGGCTTAGCTATCATTCTGCCTTGTGGTCAGCAGCTTTGCTAGGCCACAGGTCATGCCTTTGTATTCAGCTGCAAATCCAGTGTTCCCTAATAATCCAAATTATTTGTCATCCTAACAGTTAATGTTTAGGGTGGATTTGAAAAGTACCCCAAAGCAGTTAGGAACTCAACTGCCATTGAACTGAAATGAGAAATATATAGCTAGCTCTCCAATATGCCTTTGAAAATATCAAGTGATTTGCCTGCACTATCACCAGAAATTATATCATCTTTTTTTTCATTAGAAAAAAAGAAAATAGATGTGAAATGGCTAAACTACATGTGAAACCCACCACACATCAAAGCACTAACTCAAATATACTTCAAAATAATAACACACAGAATTTTTCATTCTTACATCTCATGAATCTGGCAAAAGTGCCCTCATCCTTAACTTTACTACCAAGAGAGTTAATTGATTTCAGGTGGTAAACTTCAAGTGGTAAAATTGAACCTGGGCAAAAGGGCTGTATGAAGACAAAGAATATTATTAGCTCCATTTTATAAATCCAGAAAGTGTGTCATGGAAAGATGAAATGACCTACATGAGGCAGGAGGAAAAATGGGTGTTTTTATGTCATTTTTATAACTCCCTTGATCCTAAGATACCTAGTGACAAAAGTGGGAGTTAGCACTGTAGAGCAACATGAAGGCTGTTTGCTTTCATGCCGATCTGCCCAGGGACATGGAAGGGTTGTTGTCCCTGATCACACTCTCTATGCTAGGTAGAGATGTAGGGTTAAATTAGGGAAGTGGCACTTCAGCACCATCTGGCAGGTTCTGTTATTCATGCTTCACCCAATCCCTGATCAAACCAATTTAGCAAATGGTCTCAAGGAAAAAAGAGAAACATTAAAAATTTAAGAATAGGATTACTGTCCTGAATGGGTGTGGTGTGATTACAGTACCATAAAAGATACTGGGGTATGCTTTTGGTTAGAGGTTAGAGGTAACCTTTCTTGCAAACACTTATTAAATACTCATTTGCCAAGACCTTATCTTTTTAAACAGAATTTAAACTCAAAATGTCAGAAGAACAAAACTGTGCTTCCAAAGCACCCCAAAGAAATGGGCAACACCAAAGCACTGGAATAAACAAGGAGAGTGGGAAACAGGAAGCAGCAAGTGCTGAACCAGTGTCATCAGTGGAAGAAACCATGGATACTGTATTGAAGAAATTAAAAGAGAAGAGACAACAGCTTAATGTCCCCGAGACCATAAAGGTATCTCAAAAAAAATAGGCATGTCTGTTTCTTGCAGAATATTCACCTCTAGGGAAGAAATTAAATTTTGTTTAACTGTTAGTGTCCTACTCAGCGCTCTGTCTCTATGGCGCCATTGTTACTGCACCGTTATTTAGTAGTTCCTTTTGGAAGTAACAGCTTGTACTGTGTCATACGTGCCCCACACAGTTATTTTTAGGCAGTATGTCACCGTGATGATGCGCGTGGAAACATGACGCATAAGGGAGCATGTCACTACAGTGACGTCATGGCAGTATCACAGTTTTTTGTCTGCAGATGCTATGTCACCATAGCACATTGCTACAGTGACCTAGCGTCACATGTAGACATACCCAGTGTATACTGAACTGAATGGTTCAATGATATCCCCCAGGTTCAGCACCACATGATGTCATCTAGTGACTCAATACAATTTTTCTGGAGTGACAAGTCGATGAAGAGTAACAAAGGCAGAGAGGTCCATTTTTGTTCAGAAAGATTCAGAAATAGATTTATCATGTTTGGAGGTGTATGGCAATAACTGAAACAGTAAGGAACTGTAATAACCCCCCCCCTGTAACTGTTTCAGATGACATAGACTATTTTCATTCTATCACAGCTGGTGATAGAGTAAAAGTGATCAGACCTGCAGTCTACAGAAACTATATAAGTAAGAACAAATCACTCATCTACAAAACTGGCCGTTATGTTTCTTACCCTAAGGCAGTGTGTCATTGAAGCCCATGGGTTTGTATGATACTATCATGTACCATAAGGATTTAGCAACCTATGGCTTGCAGGCCATATCCAGCCTGTGAAGTGGTTGGATCCAACCTATGAAGCTCTTACCCAATTTGGGTAGCAGGGACCAGGTGGCATGCAGCTGAGTCATGCCATCCATCCCCTCAACATCACCCCTTCTGCATTCCTCTCTACTTCTCTCTTGTGCCTGCACTTAAACCTTGCTGTAGCGGGGCTGGGTATCAGTAGCCAGGGAAAGTGTAAGCAGCTAGGACACTTCAGGAGGCAGAGATTTATTGCCCATCGTGGCAAAAGTTTGCCAACCCCTGAGTTATAGGAAAAAATAACTCCAAAACAAAATAAAGTAGTGTGGCATATTTCAAATACTTTTCCTCAATATTAAAATCATTCCAATGTAGGCACTTGCACCCAGGATTGCAGCAATTCCAGCCAGGACAATATAGTCCTGGCTGGCAGGGGGCCCAGGAGGGTCAGACCTGGGATTTGGGTGGCAGCAGTGAGTGGCACAGCAACTGGCTGGTGCATGAGGGTGCTATATATAATACAGGGCTCACTGTGGAAGTGTGAGGTGGGTCTAGCTCGGTCTTTCATTGAACTCTTCTGCCACGACTTGGATTGAAAAAAGGAAGAGATGTTCAGTGTTATTTTGGGACGAGAAACACCACATACCACCCAGGTGATATGCTCTCACCATGCAAGTTTTATTTCCCTTCAGGTAGTTACAGTGTAGCACTCTCCTCGCTAATTACATCATTAGCGAGGGAACATTGGCAAGGCTGATAAGTAGCGCGGGAGTCCCGAGCGTCCTGCACAACTTAGGTTAATTTGTAGCAATAGAGTCCTCCTGGCTAATTGATTCATTAGCTGGGCATGTTCTCTGCGCCTGGTGTTCCTTGCCACTCTCTGTGAGTACTGGGCTCCGTTTACATCCATCCCTGTGGGGCGAAAGGCTCCAGGCTGCTTCTACTGCAGGGCTCCAGCTCGGAGCCTTCTCCCTCAGTGTCCCCCTCAGCCCACCGGTTCCTGGCTTTCCCTGGACTCACTGAACTGGCTGCAGCTGCCGGTAACTCCCCCTTGCCCTGGCATCCATCTGCCCCATCCTGGGACCGGCAGACCCAGCGTTCTCTGAAGCTAAAAGTTGGGTTCTCTCTCTCTCTCTCTCACTCGCCCTTGTCTCTTCTTCTTTTTCTTCTTCTTCTTCACAGTCAATCCTCTGTCTTCTCCATGCCTGAAGGCAAACTGTGCTTGCTCACTGTCATGTTTTATCAGCCGCGCCTGGCTAATTATCCCAACTTGCCCCTGGTGTGACCTCCCCTCCACCTGTGCACCCAGTTACCTGCTCCTGTGACTGTTCCAGTAACGGGGCTCCTACCTGAGCCCCTGTTACACTTGCACATGACCGTGCTCCAATACAGCCCCCTCACTGTATCACCCTTGAGTCCCATCCAGCCCCGGTCACCATTTACACATGCATTGTGGAACATAGATTACTCTGCTGTAGGATAGTACTTGTTCCAGACAATACTATTCTATGATGGAATTAATTTACTGTGCCCTAATATAGGTGCACATGTAGACAGTGATGCTTTACTGTGGGGCTGACATAGATGCACCAGTGGAGTAAAGGTCTGTGTAATTTATGTGAATATATCAAAATCTGCTCCTTAACGTTGTAGTCATTAATGTATTTTTGTGCTATTTTATCAGTCACAGTTATAAAATATGAAAGATCTGTAGAGTCTGGGAGATCATAGGTACAGACCTAGAGCTTGTGGGGATCAGTTTGCTGCATTACTAGAATCATAAGGCTCCTGGAAAACAGGATGAGCAAAACACTTGGATTACAAACAACATTAACAGGTAGATGCTGGAGTCTGCAGCAGGCTCCATTAATCAAGTCTGCTCTGATACACTGTAGTTACTTTCTTGTGTATGGGAACCCTAAAATTATTAGTTGAAGTAAATCTGACATCTATGATGATGACCTAGACTTCCAAGAAGTTGATTTATATCATTAGAATATCTGTCCTTAAATAATGGCTTCACCAAATTTCTGCAAGAAATGTAAAAGAAGTTATTTTTTGCATAGGAGTTTACATTTGAGACCCTGCTCTAATGTTTACTGTGGAGCTGCCTAATTAACTGCAGGAAACCAATAAACTCCATCTCAGGACAGTACTTATAAATACAAGTATTATCCTGCTGCAGAGCTTTTAATACTTTAACTCATGCACATGAAGACACTGACGGGGTTGGCTGGGGCATGAAGCTGCTTCAGTGCGGGGGCTGCCTGCTGGCTAGCCCCACATTGGAGTACCCTCTTGCACCAGCTCACCACTCAACAGCACACCAAACAAGGTCAGAGCAGCCCCTGGCTGCAGGCCCCTCACCACATGCCAGTTATGCAATGGCGCTCCTCATTAATTGCATATGTGGGTAAAACCATATGGATAGATTATCTTTGGTAAATTGTGTTTGAAAATAACAACCATGTTTTCTTGGGAATCACACAAGTTTCAGTGATACTGGTATCAGCATTAATGTCTGTGTCACAGACCACTTAGGTGCCCTGCTCCTAAGGAGGAGAAACTGCTAGGGAAGGGACCCTACCAGTGAGTGAATAAGGAGCCCAGCTGTGGGTTGCCGGGGCAACCAGGGAAGGTCAGCTGACTGGAAAGGGCAGGGCCTGGCTCCCTTATAAACTCAAGGAGCTGAGGCCAGAAGCAGTTCCCTGCCAGCTGCCATAGAAGAAGGAGCTCTCTGCTGTGGGAGAGAGGAGAAGCCTGACCCAGGAGCAGTATCTAACTTTCCTGAGAGATAAAGGGTCTCCGGTAGGAGTGAATGTTGTTATGGGCGGATGGCTTCAGTTTGAGTTATAGCCGGAGGGCTAGTATTTTGTGTTGCTGTTTGTTTATCACCGGTGGTTTGGGTGAGGCTATTAGGGGTTGGAGGCAGCCTCATAGGGGACCCACAGTAGTGTGAGGGCCCCAGCACCAGGAAAGGTGCAGCATCCTCATAGGGGGCTCACAGCGGAGTGTGAGGACCCCAGCACCAGTGAAGGTGCAGCATTTTGGGGTGCACAGACCCCAGCCCCAGAGACGGGCAGTTGAGAAGCCCCAGAGAAGGGGGTAGCAGTGTGGTGACCCCAGAGAGGTGGTAGCAGTTGTGGTGAACCCTGGAAAAGGACGGCACTGCCGAAGAGCCCCAGAGAGAGGGCGGCTTTACAGGGAAGGCCCCAGAGAGGGGTGGCATTGTAGAAGAGCCCCAGAAAGGGGCGGCTTTACTGAGGAGGCCCTGGAAGAGAGGGTAGCGCTACAGAGGAGGCCCTGAAAGAGAGGGCAGTGCTACAGAGGAGGCCCTAGAGAAGGTGGCCTTACTGAGGAGCCCGGAGGAGGGGCACGGAGAGAGAGAGACAGGGTGGAGGAGAGCCCAAGTGTCAGTGGGGGCACAGAGAGAGAAGAGACAGGACTGAGGAAAGCCTTAGTGCCAGAGAGGCACAAAATAATGTGAACATCAGAGAGAGGGACAAAATAATGTCCATTACATCTGTGAGGCTTGGGGCATGGTATTGGGGTGGTAGGAGCCATGCGTAGCCCCTAAGGCTAGGGTGCCCCTTACAGCACCATTTATAGAACAGGACCCCTGAGGGGTCCGGGAAAACCACGGGGTTGTAGGATCCATAGAAGTGACCAAGAGGGCATAGAAAGGCAGCCTCCCTAACATATTTAAACATCAAAGATGTGGTGGGCGAGAAACTGAGGGTGCCCTTGGGCCCACTTGGCATGGGAAGGGGCCTCAAGGAGATCACGGCCCTCCTACAGGTGCCCGCCTGTGACAGTCTGTAACAGTGTTGGTTGAGAAGTCTCTTAAGTAAAACTGGCTAAATGAAAGAATCCCTAGACTTAGAGAGAGAGTAGAGATGAGTGTTCTTTGAAATAGATAGGCTAGGCAGTAGGCAGATAAATTGTGAGCCTTATAGATGATAAAAAAGCCCTGTAAATTTTCTCCTGTGTTATCCTAATAAATCTACATGCGTGTACTATCCAGGCATAATTGATTTAGCAATCCAGGCTGATTCTATAATTAATTTCCTCCATTTTAATTTTTGAAGAGATCTCCAAATTTTAATATGTTTAATATGCTTGGTCTGTCAAATTTGGCATCACAAAGGTAGGACATGAAGTGGTTAATTGTGGATCTATTTATCATTGTACCATATAAACACCTGCTACAACATG